TAACTGCTAAAAGTATCCTACCTCCTAGTACTTGACATCTTGGTGTAGATCAAATGCAGCAGGTAGAGGTATTTCTTCAGACTTGATTTGGCTTTATTTAGCTGATCTTTGTCAACTAGAGGTGTTGACTCACCTTTGAAGTCTTCTGTAGACAGCTTTGTTCCATTTCTAGCATGCCAGTCACCTAAATAGTGCCTTGCATCCTGAGCTGTGTTGCTCAGGACACATTAAACCATTATCATAAAGCCCGAAGTAACCCAGAAATGTATTGAGTCTCAAGAAGAAGTTTTTGACCTAGTTTAATACTTTTTTTTTTAAATAAAACAAACCCTTTTTTGTTAGTAGCATATTGCTTCCTCAAACAGTGCTGCATGTATTCCAAAGTCAACAGCACAGTGTTTATCTGTCATGTCAACCAGTAAAATTGGTGATTTAATGAAGTTAAACAATATTTGCTGATATTGGATCAGAAATAGAAGGAGGGGAAAAAAAGAAGCCTTCAAGGAAGTACATTTCTAGAATGGTCTTCAAAAGCAGATAGAAAAGGGGGTTTAGTGTAATTTATTTCTTCCTTCAGCATGCCCTACCATTTTATGCTCCCCATGCCCAACTGTTCAGAACAGTTTCTGAATTCAGTCTGTGGTGTTTAGCTGTTCGGCCTATTTTATTCAGCTGCTCTGTTCCCATGTCGTGCACTTAACCTGTCTGTCTTGGTTTTCAGGTGATCTGAAGCACATCACCAAACTGAAGCCCTGGGGCCTTTTTGAAGTCTTGGTGGAAAAATACGAGTGGTCCCAAGATGAGGCAGCTGCATTCACAGACTTCTTATTACCTATGTTGGAGCTGATCCCAGAGAAACGAGCTACAGCAGCAGAGTGTCTCAGGCACCCCTGGCTTAACTCATAGAGGCTTCGACCCAATGCCACAGCACTACACTCTGGTTTACAGCATAGCCTACACGCACCCAGCTGCCCCTTCCCAGATCCATTTTTCTTCTTGTTCATTTTCAGTGTGAAGTTCTTCCTTCAAGGCTTCCGAGATTTTAGATAAATCTAACCTGTTCTGCTGAGTTTGCTTGTGTGACTCATTGGGATCTTTCCTCAGCCGGTGGGCATCATCTGTGTTTTGCCTTGATTGGGTTTCGCCAAAGACTAATTGACTAGAGTATGAAGGTTGTTTTTCTGAGTCTCCTCACTGTTACTCACCGTGTGCTACAGATGTGAGCTCACCTGTGCTCAGATATGCTCCCTTAGCTAAATTTCAACTCCCCTTTCTTCGTGAGGGGGATGTGAAGATCTGAACGCCTCCTTATCTCACTGACTCAGGAGTCAATTTCCCGCTGTTAACAGATGGCACCAAGGTGCTGTTAGTTCCTGGTAGAGCAAAGACCTCCAAATCCTCCGTCATTTTCTAGGTGTCTACTGTATTCTTTGCTTTCCAGTCACGTAACTTTTCTTTAGTTCTAGCTGCTTAAATCTTTTGAAAAAAGCTATTTAAACTTAGGGTTTAGTGTCCTTTCTTTCTTCTTCCGAAGTGCTCTGCCCCTTTACTTTTTCCTTCCCTGGGCCCAGATAGTCAGAACAGTTTCTGAACTCGGTGACATTTTCTACTTTAACGCCTGTGACTAAAAGGTGACAAGCAAAATGAGCAAAAGCTGGAACTGACTCAACGCACAATCTTCAGCATGCAGATGGGTGTGCCCTTTGGCTGCAGAGAGGTGGCCTTGTTGCAGGCAACTCTTCCAATGTTTTAGTGAGCTGTAAGTTTTTTGATTTTTATCTCTTACTGGCACTTTTTTGCCTTGCTTGAGGCAGTTGCTGTATCCGTGAGAGATCGGCTTTCACTGATGCAGTCTACTCTGGCTCTTAATTTTTGACCATTCACTTTTTCCCAAGAAAAGATGTCAGCATCTGTATCGCAGCCACGCCATAGCCCTTGACTTTCAAAATCAACACTTGAAGGCCCAGTGTAAAGATTTCTTCTCCTTTAACGTGCTTCAGGTGCTGGCCTTCAGAAATAACTTCCCGGGATGGGACTGCCTTTTATTTTCTGGGCCATTAGCACAAGAAAAGCTAGCAGAGGTGGAAGAGAACATGACTTTTCCATGTAGATACTGGATTAGAAGCTGTTTCTAGAGTTACCCCAAGTAAAAATGTTCTGTGGGGTTTCTATCTAAACTTCTCAGAGGGGGTTGGATATAATGAGTAAATGGGTTAATTTTAATTAAAAGTTAAATCACTGTGGCATTTGATAGTTTTATGACGGCTTCTTCTAGACTCGCCCATCCTGTTACAGATTCAGTGTATCCTACTCTAAAGCAAGATCTGGCAGCGTTGAGACTTCAGAGGCACTTCCTTACCCTGGACCAAACAGACCTTTGGATTCGTGGTGGCTCTCAGAGGATAGAAGTTGCCGCAGGAGCGTGCTGGAGGCCACGCAGATGCTACCCGAGACGATTACCTTGCCAAAGCTGCCAAGACCACTGTTACGTGTCATTTCTGTATGTGTGCGTGGAAATCCTGGTTCGTAAGGATTGTTCACTCATAAACCTTGGTGTCATTTAATCCACTTGAACAGAGTTTCTCCGGTGCGGTGCCTGTTTGGGCTTATTAGTGCAAATCATGCTGCATGTTCTTTTAGGGGTAGATCAGGTTCTCTATGCATATAATCTAAAATTAAAGGAAGGTAACATACCAAAAGAGTTTTTAAAGTGCTGATTTGACTTTTTTTCCCCCCCTTTCATCTGGAGTTTTCCAGTTGCGTGTCACTTCCACGTCTGTTACAGAAGGACAGCAGACAGGACTGGGTTCCGAAAGACCTGCTGTCTACATACTGTGAAGATACGTTGGCAGGGCAAACAATTTCTGTCGTCTTGAAAGCTCACCCGGTCCTGTGTACTTGAGACTGGCCGATTAAAGAACTTTTCCTAGAAGGGGTCTGCGCGCTTCAACTCTGAGAGCTCCTTCCCGTCCTTCCCTTCCCTCTGCCACCCCCGACTGGAGGAGGAGGTTTTTTACTGTGATAGCCGAGGCTAGAGCCAGCTTGGGAGTTGAAGACCTGCAGAAGCAGCTGCCAGGATTCAGTCTTGTACCGTGTGCTCGTTCACTTGGGGTTTGTTAAATTTCCAAATTGCCGTAAAGTGCTCACACTAAAGGATTTGTACTTGCTGTGTCAGTCTAAAACCTGAAGGAAAATACATTTTTATTCTTTCTACTTGGGTGCTTCGTCTTTTTTTCTTTGTGAAAGCCGTACAATAAACAGATTATTTAATAACTGAGCCCTATTCCTCATATGTTCCCTCTGTAAGTCTGTTCTTTCTGAGCTAGTGGCCCATTGATTGAATTTTCTTTGCTAGTGAGCACTTAGTTTTGATTTCCAGAATGAGACGCAGGGAGATGGCGTAGGTGAAGGTTTGGTTGCTGGTGTTGTGATCAGTTTTAAAAGGGGGAGAAGAGCAGTCAATAGCAGGAAACTCTGCTGGAATTTTTCGGTTCTAAAATATGTTTTTCTCCAAGTCTGTCGTATTTCTGCTATATTCCCTAGCAAACAGTCTTAACAAACCTTTCCCAAACACTTTGAGGGCAGCGTTCAACTGGAAGGTGCTTGTTAGAACTGAATTGAATAATATGTTTTTCTCCAAGTCTGTCGTATTTCTGCTATATTCCCTAGCAAACAGTCTTAACAAACCTTTCCCAAACACTTTAAGAGGGCAGCGTTCAACTGGAAGGTGCTTGTTAGAACCGAATTGAATCAACTGCTGCAGGAACCACTGAATTACAGCAAGTATAAATGAAAAATTGTAATAGAGGCTAATTGGGGGTTCTGACCAGGTAGGAGCTGGATGGGATGATGTGCTGCTTTGTCTTCTGCTGACACAGGATGTGCCGTGGGTGTTGGGTGGGATGAGGAACGCTGGCCAAATGGGATTAATCGGCGGCTTAGGGTGCTGCAGTGAGTTGATGCTGACTGGCACCATCTGCTGCAGTCTGCAGGTACTGTTACAGGCCTGCTGCAGCCCAGCAGATTTTTTTTTTTCCTCCTCCCCCACCAACGAAGCGCCCTTTTTAAAAGGTTGTGTTTGGTTATTGTTGCCCAGAATGGGAAGCTGATTCACAGCTCTGCTAGGAACTGGCTGTGTTGTGGTATTTTTCAAGTACAAGGGCAACCTGGGATGTGGCAGAGGATTTTCCCTGCCCTGAGGAGACTAGCACAAAATCCAAAAAGCTAACTTTTTTTTTTATTCAGAAGTAATTTCCTTGAAAGAAGGTGTACAAACCCCAAAAAGAAGCAAATTGCCATCCCCTCCTTTTCCCCAGGTTTGCTGATGGCCTCAAAAAAAAAAAAAAATCAAAAAAATGTCCAGTTTTGGGCTCTTCCCATCAAATAAACTCCATGAGAGCTGTGAGCTGATAGTGGCCCCTTAGGTGAAAAGAACAGTTGTAGAAAATCCACAGAAGTTGGTAAGTTTAAAGCTCCTGGAAAAGTCATTTTAAAGAAAAGGGCTGTGTCTCTTGAAGCTGATGGAAGACAAGTTCTAGGCGTCCCTGGGAAGAGAAAGAAAAGGTCAGCTGTTGCCAAATGAACTTCAAATTTTAATTTTTTTTTTTTTTTTTTAGGGGATCACTTGGCAAGGATTTCTGTTCTCCTAGTTTCAGGAGGCAAAGCAAAGACTACTTCCCATTTAACCACAAATAAACCCAGTGTGACTATAGCACCAAAATCTATACAGTTGTCAATCCTTTAGTAATCCTCAAAATACAACAGCAGCGTTATGTAAAATCACTGCGGGCATCGCTTACGTGGTGATCAGCTCTGTCAGTCGTTGACCTCTTCTGTAAAACAAAAAGATAATTACTGTGTTAATGGGGTATGGGAATACGGTGTAGGTGTGCTTTCACCTGCAGCGTGATGACCACGATAGCTCTCCTGCTTCTCCCGCCCAAATACCAGCAATCCCCTGCCGTATGGAAACGCTCTGCAGCAGGCCGGGGGCTCAGAGCTCAGCTCCAGCTGCCTTTACCTTTATTTTCCACTTTAAAATCAGACGGGAGGAGGTTGTCCTGCCGGTTCCCCAAGACAAAGGCCAGGAAGGAGAGTATGAGAGCATCGAGGATGCCGATGATGCAGAGGATGTACGCCCAGCGCACGGTGCAGGCGCCCAGCGTGTACTTGTCCGTCTTGTCCCCGCACATGCGCTTCACCTCGCTCGAGTCCCAGCCGTCGGGGTAGATCAGGCAGCCGATCATCAGCCCGGTAGCTGCGGGGAGAGGGAGACGTT